CTGGGATAATGGGGCCAGTAGCTTCAAATTAGAGGGTAGGGAAGCCAAACAGCTGGGATCACTCTAGGGAAGGGAGTGTTAACAAAGTGATTGGGAAAGGGGCACAAGCCATCAGCCTCTGGAGGTGACTTCTGTCAGCACTGCAGGAAAGGTGTCCTTTCAAGCAAGATGTTATGTGTCACCCGAGCAAGTGAGCCACTGTGAAGAGAGAGATGTCCAGTATCTGAGGGAATTAGCTGTACTGGAGGTGATTTATTATGACCTGAACAATGCACAGTCACCCACAGATCCAAGCAAAGTCCAGTACACACGATTTGTGTGGTGGAAATTTGTATGGAGTGCACCATCATTGTATGCTAACTCATTGGCAGTAATGACCTGGAGAGGTGAAGAGGATGGTGGATGAAGTAGTTTGTCAGTACAGTGCCCTATTGTGGGGGATGGAAGGCAGTTGTATGGAGTTTCCTACAACAAGTTGCAGGAACTGCTCATGGATAAGGTGAATCGAGTCAATTTGCAGAGGTGAAAGCCACCCAGCTGGCCTTGGACATTGCTGAAGGAGAAAAGTGGCCAATACTTTATACTTCCTCATAGATGGTGTCAAATGCCTGTGCGGGTGGTTGCAGCAACAGAAGCAGAGCAACTGGCAGCCTTGAGGTAAACCCATCTGGGCTGCTGCACTGCGGCAAGATATTGCTGCCCGGGTGCAGAATCTGGTGGTGAAGGTACGTCATGTAGATGTTCATGTACCCAAGAGGAGAGCCACTGAAGAACATCAGAACAACCAACAAGTGGATTAGGCTGCTACAATTGAAGTGGCTCAGATGGACTTAGATTGGCAACATAAGGGTGAGTTATTTTTAGCTCAATGGGCCCATGACACCTCAGGCCATCAAGGCAGAGATGCAACATACAGATAGGCTCATGATTGAGGGGTCAACATAACAATGGACATGATCACACAGGTTATTCACATATGTGAAACCTGTGCTGCAGTCAAGCATGCCAAGCAGTTAAAGCCTCTCTGGTATGGAGGACCATGGCTGAAGTACATGAGAGGGCCTGGCAGAATGACTGTATCACACCCCCACCAACCTGCCAAGGCAAGCACCACGTGCTTACCATGGTGGAAGCAGCCACCGGCTGGCTGGAAACATACGCTGTGCCCCATGCCACTGCCCGGAACACCATCCTGGGCCTTGAGAAACAGATTTTGTGGCGACATGGCACCCCAGAGAGAATTGAGTCAGACAATGGGACTCATTTCCGGAACAACCTCATAGACACTTGGCCAACGAGCGCAGCATTGAGTGGGTATATCGCATCCCCTACCATGCACCAGCCTCTGGGAAAATCCAACAGTACTGTCCTGGGTTCAGCAGTACAGTCATTTTTCTCCTTCTTAGTAGCTGGTGCAGTGCTGTGTTTTTGACTTTCAGCCTGAGAACATTCTGGAGAATGCACATCCCAAATTACAGTTCGATTGTAAGCCCTCTCTATCATGTGACCCGGAAGAAGAATGATTTTAAATGGGGCCCTGAGCAGCAACAAGCCTTTGAGCAAATTAAACGCGAGATAGTTCATGCAGTAGCCCTTGGACCAGTCTGGACCGGGTCAGATGTAAAAAATGTACTGTACACTGCAGCTGGGGACAACGGTCCTACCTGGAGCCTCTGGCAGAAAGCTGCAGGGGAGACTTGAGGTCGACCCCTCGGCTTTTGGAGTCGGGGATACAGAGGATCTGAGGCCAGCTATACCTCAACTGAGAAAGAGATACTGGCAGGTTATGGAGGGGTTTGAGCTGCTTCGGAAGTGATTGGCACTGAAGGATTGGCACAGCTCTCCTGGCACCCTGGTTGCCCGTGCTGGGAAAGTACAATGGCCTGTTAAAAACTGCACTGAGAGCAGTGGATGGTGGGACTTTCAAACATAGGGATACACATTTAGCAAAAGCCACCTGGTTGGTCAGCATGAGGGTATCTGCCACCAGGACTGGCCCAGCCCAGTTAGAACTTTTACATACTATAGAGAGGGATAAAGTACATGTGGTGCACATAACAAGACAGTCTGGGTTATTCCCACTTCAGGCAAAGGCAAACCCCTTTATGGACCTGGGTGTACTTGGTGGGTAATGCAGAAGGATGGGGAATTCTGGCATGTATCTCGAGGGGATTTGATCTGGTGAAAATGAACTAAACTGTATGATGCTGATTGCTATATAATAATCACTTCTGTGGTGGCTGTGTGCCATATCAAGGCTACTGCAGTAAAAATCGCCTAGATTAATGAATGATTTGATGAAACTGGACAAGTGCAGTGGTGGTGGAATCAGAACTGGTTTCAGCATGCAGCAGTCCAACACCACACAGCATCTGTCCTGTCCTGAAGGGCTGTTGTGACAGATGGAGCCCAAAGTCATGCGCTAAATGAACTCAGCAGATATTTTAGAGGGATGGTCCAAAGACTAAGGGAATGATGTTCGTGTGTCTATATCGAAAGATAAGATGCATTGAAGTGTGGGATCTGGCGTGACTTAAATGGGATGGAATAAGGGGTGGATACTATCCTGGCTTTGGCTGGGATAGAGTTAATTTTCTTCCTAGTAGCTGGTGCAGTGCTGTGTTTTGGATTTAGTCTGAGAGCAATGTTGATAACACATGGATGGTTTAGTTGTTGCTCAGTAGTGTTTACCCTAATTCAAGGACTTTTCAGTTTCCCATGCTCTGCCAGTGAGGAGAAGAAGCCAGGAGGCAGCACAGCAAGAACACCTTACCCAAACTAGCCAAAGGGGTATTCCATACCACAGTATGTCATGCCCATGCACAGTATGTAAACTGAGGGAGTTACCCGGAAGAGGCTGATCACTGCTCAGGTCGGGCTGGGCATCAGTCAGTGGTGAGCAATTGTATTGTGCATCACTTGTTGTTTGTGGTGTTTTATTACTTTATTTCTTTTTGTTATTTCAATTATATTCTTATTATTATTTGTTTTTTTAAATTCAATTATTAAACTGTTCTTATTTCAACCCATGGGTTTTACCTTCTTCCAGCTCTACTCCCCATCCCCTGGGGAGGTAAGGGGAAGCCATAGTGAGAAAGTGGTACTCAGTTGCCAACTAGGTTAAACCATGACAGTATGCTTTAAGCAGTTTGTCCTGGAGATGGGATGTAATTTAATGTATAATGGTGTTTTCTTTCTTGCAGTGCATGACCCCTCCACACAGCCCTGACTTTGTTGAGATATCGGCTGCTACACTCCTCTCCTCGCAAGTCACTTACTCCAAACCAAGGACTGTCATGGCAAATACAGCTGCCTGCTCAGTAACATCAGTGACTGGTGCCTCTCCCATAACCAAGCCATCTGTTACCAACATGTCTCCATGCAGCCAGAAGCCAGTGATACCTGAATCCTTTGCCCCTCAGCCCTGCAGGGCCATGGCAACAAGTGTCATACGTCACACAGGAGATAGCTCTGCTTACCATCACATTCCTGCTGTGCAAGAAAAAACAAAGGTAACTTCAGGCTACAGTACTTCCAGAGACTGGTGTGGAGTGGATGACCAAAAACATTCCAGACTGCCACAGGACCCGTGTGCTGCCGATAATTTAGTTAACAAAACCTCTCCGGTACATCAGCCTTATGCACAGGACTCCAGTGATATTGTGACCAATAAAGGACAACTACCAGTCCGGCCTCTTTCGCCACAGACCCACTTGCCACAGAATTGTGAGAATGACTTGCAAAAAAGAGTTACCCCAGTGACATCTGCCCCTGTTTCAAGCCCCCAAGTTCTCTGTCAAATGATCCCTTTAAATGGACAAAGCAGTATGATCAATGCCTATGTCAAACCTTCAACTCCAACAGTCTCAACTCCCATGAAACCTATTTTACCGCAGACAGCCCCTCTCTCTCAGCCTGTACTCATGGGACCTTCTGTGCCTCAGGGGACCGTCATGTTGGTTCTCCCGCAGACTGCTGTCACACCGACACCGCAGTGCCCACAAACAGTAATGACTGTTGGGAACACCAAGTTACTGCCCCTTGCACCTGCTCCCGTATTCATTGCTTCTGGTCAAAGCTGCACTCCCCAGGTGGACTTTTCTAGGCGGAGGAATTATGTTTGCAACTTCCCTGGGTGCAAGAAAACCTATTTCAAAAGTTCCCACCTCAAAGCCCACCTTCGCACCCACACTGGTGCGTACAGCAGGGCGAGGCCTTTGTCACTCTGGCACTGGCTTGCATTGGGGTGCTGAAATGCATGGGGTTTTAGGGGATGGGTGGGAAAGGGGTGAGGCAGGTGATGGTGAAACTTCTCTCATCCCAGAGAAGGGAGGAATGTTCATTCTTCATGGGCAAGCAAAACAAGACAGACTTTGTTCTGAGACCTCAGCTGACCCCATACTTCTAGTTGAATTTCACATGCTTCAGTTGGAGCAAAGCTTTGCCATCTGCGTGTGTGTTTAGAGTGGAATCCTGTCATCTGGACTAGATGGAAATCAATTGTGCAGTCCTTTTTTTGGGGGGTGGGGGGGGGGGGGGGGGGGGTGGGCATGGAGAGGTCTGCTGTAAGCAAACCATAGTACGGATGCTTGGTCTTAATTCTTGCATGAGGCGAATAAGAGAAATTTGGAAACTACTCATTTTTCCAGAGCTTTGTTTAGGCTAAATGGGAAAACACTGAGATTTTGGGCTGCTGTGTTAGGAAGTAGAGCTGGTACAGGAATGTAGCAGTTTATTCAGTTACAGAAAGGGAATTTTAAAGATAAATGAAAATTAGTTGTAATTAATACGAGCTGATTTGCTCCATGAAATCTGATCAGTGTGGAGACAGTATACATGTGGTTTACTTATCATTTTTCTGGGTTCAAGATCCTGTTAAAACTAACTTTGAGTTCTCGGGGACTATTTTTGATGTTGAGGGATAGGCATAGTTAAGAAATTGGTACAGAATAGCTCATTCAAAAGTCTGTTTAATTTTGGTTTTCCTTGTTGTTTCCCCCCCCCTTACCCTCCCTTGCCCCACAGACACTGTGGTTTATAGGGTGTCAGCTTCTGTGGCAGGATTTGCATTAGGTTGGCAGCTTGTCTTTACAGTTCCTTTGGGGAAAGTGCTTAAGCCTTATATGAAGCTGATAATCCTTGTAAACCAGAGCTCAGAGGTGGAATGATGTTTCTGCTTCTAGCTTGAAAGTAAGTGCTGCAGGCTGCTGAATTAACCTGGCACTACAGGGTAAACATAGACTAGCAAAAGTGTCTCATGTACTGCTGATGATCCATGGGAAAGGTGTGTGTATCCTTGTATTGTTATTAAGACTAGGACATTGGTGGGAAGCGAAGCATTCTGAGCCCTTGCTAGCTAGTCCATATTACGGAAACAGGAGGCAGAGTAGTTCATCTTTCTTTTCCTTGAGCACTGAGAAGCTAGGTGATACCAAATACAAAAAACACAGAACTTACTCTCAATATCTGAAATAAGAGCAGCACTTCTGTGGGGTTTCCTTTCTGCTGGACACTTGTGTCCTGCTCCAAAGTGTTATCATAAATATGCGTCATGTGGTAGATGCTTATCTTGAGCCTTATGTGAGGGTTGTAGTCAGTAGATTGTGTTGTTTAGGGTAGGTCAGTTGCCCAGGATGAGCAGAAGCTGATGTGAACAGCCTTTCTGCTTGCTGTCATTCCTGGGTGTGCAGAATTCCCCTAGCTGTCTGTTGGGAATTGCAGGACAGGCTTTTCCTCAGTAGTACTTGCTGGGGTAGTATTTGTGTGTAGGACTGGATCACTGGAGCAGCAGGACTCAGGAGGCTTGACTCCAGGCTTCCCATTTGCCTTCAGTTTTTGCTGGTGACATGCACCAGCTGTACAGCTGTAGTCACATAGGAATTGGGTAGAGAGTTGCTTCTATTTCAGTCATTGGGTAAGGTACCTTTATGAAGAATCCTCTTCTTTAAACTGGGATAACTGAAAAGAAGAAACAAAAAAAGGCTTGATTAAAGAACATTTAAAGTGACATGAGGGAGTACATAGAAGTGATACCTACAATTTTTGTCCAAAACACAACTTGAGCTTAAGCTAATATTGACTACACACATGAACAGCTCTGTGGAATTCATTGGGTTTTGCAAGGCAGGATTTAAGTTAGTTCTTTGATAAAACTGTAACACAGCTTTTCAAAAGTAAATTATGTTTCTTTTATGCCCTGCAGGAGAAAAGCCTTTCAACTGCAGCTGGGAAGGCTGTGACAAGAAGTTTGCTCGCTCAGATGAACTGTCACGCCACCGCAGAACTCACACAGGAGAGAAGAAGTTTGCTTGTCCCGTGTGTGAGCGTCGCTTCATGCGCAGTGATCACTTGACAAAGCATACCCGCCGCCATGTGACCACAAAGAAGATCCCCAGCTGGCAGACAGAGGTTGGCAAACTCAGCAGGATTGCCACAGCAGAGAAACCAAAAAGCAGCAGTGCTCTGAGTATGCTTGTCCCCATGCCATCATCTGTCTGTCAGGGCTAGTGTGAAGGGAGCACCTTCTCCACAAATTGCCTGAAGATCAGGAAGAGCTCTGGTGGATAGAGCAGAACTGACAATAGCTTTTTTCTGCTGTGTTTGTGCATACTTTAGTTTCCTTCAGTTTAGGTCCTCTGTTAATAATGCTCTGTGAGAAATCTATCATATATTTTGTCCTTCCTTCCCTATTTTTTTGTTGTTTGTTGGGGTTTTTTTTTCCAGTACTTGGGCAAATGCAATCACCAGCACTTCAGGAAAGCAGAACTCTTTGGAAATGATTTTGGCAATAGGTTAAAGAAGTCACTTGTAATGCTTGCTGTTAATATTTTGATGGACAGTAAAACAGGGTGATTTTTAATTTTTATACTAGTATTTTCTATACCAAATATATTTTGTATTTATTCATTTTTGGTCTTGATATACAGGCAGATTTCTTGACCTGCATTAGTAGGGGTGTGCAGGATGAGACCCAGAGTTTTGGAAACTCTTTTTTTTTTCAGTAAATCAAAAGAATTGCATTCAGAACATTTTGTAAACAGAATATTTGATAACTCACAGTGATTGGGATTTTCACACTTGCAGATCCTTATCCTGTGATGGGCTGGTGCTGTTACACCCTCCTGTCACAGGTGATATTGGAGGTTTGAGATTGAAGTGGGACATCATTTTAAAACAAGACAAACCAGAATGACTTCCAGAGGACAAGTGGTGAAATCCTCAACATTTTATAAATTCCTACCCTTTGCAAGTGGATGCTGTTGTGATGTTTGGTAGAAGCTTGACATACTGGGCATTCCTGAGTCCACACTCCAGCGGAGCGAAGTTTGGAGGAGCTGTGCTGCTCTGATGGAGCTAGAAGCACAAACACTGTTTAGAAACTTTGACACTAAGAATTATGCTTTACTTTCAGTCCTACTAAACCAGCATGTCAAAGTCTACTGGAAGGTGCGAAAATGGCAAGATAACATGGGGATAATTGGCTGGGTCTCTGTTTATATATTTTTTTTTTTTGCATACAAGAGAAATAGAAAATTAAGAATTTTTATGTATTGTGGATGCTTGTGCACCTTATAGGAAATTGTTCAAGGCTTTCAAGTACTTGCATCAAAGCACCAGAGAAAGTACTAACCGTGTCTTAAGAAACAGCCACCATGTCAACTTGACACTTTGCATGTGGCCTTCTACTTCTCCACAGTACTTTGTATGAAGTCACCCTTTTCTATTAAATGAGGTATTTTCCCTGTTGAATGCATTTTCTTTACACCCAGTGTAAATATGGCTAAGACGTGGAATTGCTGGCTGCAGGAATGCTGTGTTTTAGTGGCATGGTATGAGTAATAAAGCAAAATCCTATAGCACAACTGGACTGCTGGGTTTCCATGGTGTGGAAGAACGTGCAAGTGTAGTGTTGTAGCAGAGCTGATGGTAGAGCTCTTGTGCTCTGAAGCACCAGGTGCTGTTTTACTGGGAGACAGCTCACCCACTGAATGAAGTATTTCTGTAGTGCCTTCTGGACTCTTCTCCCTCCAGCCACTCCTGCACTGAAGCTTAGTTGAGTGCTGAGGACTTTTTTCCTGGTTGTGTAAAATGTGGATGACTAGGAGTGTGCTATCTCTTGCTTTGTTGTTCTGAAATACCACTCTTATTTCCCAGTGTGAGCAAAGCACAGTTCTCATCTGTGTAAGTGCAGACTCCCTGATCTCAGCTAGCACTCCCCTGAAATGGGTGGAGACCTGTTTCAGTTGAAAGCAGAATATGTCATTATTTTTTGTGGTTATATCTGTAGTTTATAGGATCATAGGCTGGTTTGGGTTGGAAGCAACATTAAAGCTCATACAGTTCCAACCCTCTGCCACTGCACCAGGTTGCTCCAAGCCCCATCAAACCTGGCCTTGAACACTGCCAGGGATGGGGCAGCCACAACTTCTCTGGGCAACCTGTGCCAGTGCCTCACCACCCTCATAGTGAAGAATGATAATTTAACACTAGTGTTTACACTGCACCATATTGGAGTATTGTGCTAAACATGCTGAAAGATTTTGTCTGACCTTTAAAATGCCCACACCCGTTCACTCGACATGTGCTGTACTCCCACTCACCGCAGCATTGCGTGCTGGTGAGTGTGAGCACACTGTGGCTGAAACTTCTCTGCTGGTAACCTGGGTGCTTGTGTAGTGTTGCTGCTCTCTGTCAATTCCCAGTTTTCCAAATTCATGTGGTGAAGAAAGAGACATTGCTGCTCTTTTTCCTTCAGAAGACCCTTAGAACAAGAAGTTTGACTTTTGGATGCCATTATTTTAGCATGCTCATAACCAAGGGAAGAGTGTCCTGTCTCAATCCAGTGGCCAACGTACTTAATTTCATTTTACAGACTAACCACTTAAGGTGTTCCCCTGAGCAAAACAGTTTGGAAGCTTGTGTCATAATTCAGTAATGTTAGCTTGTAGCATCCAGATGATGGGCTGGAGAATATGGAATATAAACCAGTGTGTCATGGATGTGTGTCATGATGTAGAAGAGCAACGGTTCCCTCTTTGTTAGTCTTTTGCATGCTCCTGTAATGTGTTTGTGCCTGGGACATCTCATGGATGTGCATGAATAGCTGAGCTGTGGTGTGGCTGTGTCTGTGCTGCTTGCCCTTCTTGTTCCTTCCTGCTACATAAGGGTTGTTTATGGATAAAGCATGGCTGGGATAGCTGCTCTTTTGCACTTTACTGCCTGAACTCTATTGTTCAGACTTATTTTAAAGAAATGGAATTATGGTTTTGTACTTATTTTTCACTTTTATTAAATAAAAAGTATGTAATGAGACTGGGTTTAAATCATCAAAAAATTGCAGATTTTTAGGTTTCATACACATTCATTCCAGAACTATGTAAATCCTTCTGGATTAGGTTATATATCTAAACCAGTGGAAGACTTTGGGGCTTGCCAGTTCACTTACCTGTAAATGCAGGACGTTTTGGATTTTGTTGTAAATTGATCAGTGCTTATCCGTTTATAATTTTATACAGTGCTTCTTGTGTATTTGGTGGATATATCTGCACCACTGCCAGGGCTGGGGGCTTTTGCATGCTGTCTGAGAACAAGACTCTTGGGGTCTGTAGCTCTGTTCTAGTACGGCCTCCAGAAGCTATCAGCAAAAGGTGCTGCTCTGTTGGTGTTGCAGGCTGTGCATGGCGTGACGCTGGAAATGAAGAAGAGATGAGAATTTGATTCAAGAGATGGCTGCATCAGCCCTGGTTCTTCTCTGGTGGGGAAGAGGCTCTGGCAGGCTGGGTATCACCTCCAGGTCTTGTCTGGCAAAGAGGTGTCCAGCTGTGGTGGCAGCAGCAGCTACTACTTTACATTTTTTAGGCATCTCTGCTGTTTTTTTCCCTCAGACCAGTTCCCAGGCTTCAGCAATGTTTATTTCCGGCGAGGTCATGTTTTAATGGAAGAGAAGGGAAGGAGACGGTGTAATGAATGACACCAGCTTTCTGTCACAGCCTTTCACTGCAAGGTGATGGTCTCTGTAGTCAGAGCCCTCAGAGTGCAAACTGGGAGCGGTGGCTCAAGGCTTTGTCCGCAGAAGACATCATTCTTCAAGGGTGTGGAAGATGAAAAGAGAAAATCCCATGGATGGTCCTGCTTGCCCCTCAGGAGAAAGGATGTCTTTCCTGTGGGATTGATACTCTGCAGAGTAGCACAAACTCTTCAGCCCATGGGCTCTGTGGGTTTCCATAATGCTTTTGTGTCCCAGGGGAAGTTGTCCTACTTGTCTGTTCTGACTGTTTTCCCAGGAAGATTTTTCTGAGCCCCAAGTCATATCCTGAACAATATCTGTATTTTTTTTTGCCAAATTTTATATTATCTGCCTTGCTTTGCTTATGCAAGACATGACAATGGATTTCACAGTTCTGTGCTCATCTTTCTGCTTTTCCTTAGAACCATACTGTGGTCTGAGCTGTTACACACAGCTGCACTCAGGACACATCCTGATGAGGCTGGAGACTGGAACAGCTTCATCCTGTGAGAGAAAACAGTTCACATGCAAGGAAGCCTTCCTATGTGCTGACACAAGTATTGTGTGGGCGAAAGTCCTGTCTTGAAGGACTGTCCATGAAAACTAATAATTTTCTATGGAAAAATGGATGTGTACTCAAATGTGTCCATTGCGTTTAGTGCTATGGTTTGCAGTTAGGCCAGCATTGCTTTGCTGTGTGTGGTTAGGCAGCCAAACCTTCAGCTAGGTGGCAGCTTGCCTTGTTTTGCTCACAAACTGATGAGCACTGATCCACTTGCAGTTTGGATACTGGAAGCATGAAACCATCCTGAGACTTTAGCGCTCGCTGGGCAGAGGTGACCCATGCTGCTGGGTGGCTGCACAACCTGTGTACTCCTATGGCTTAGGCTGCAGCTCTGGCTAACTCCCCATTTCCAGGTGTGAAAGCTGTGCTCAGTATCCTGTGAATGATGAAGGCAGCACTTCCTCCGTCATCTCTTGTGAGCTGAATCCTGCCCTAGGGTTGCATCTGACTTGAGTTCATCTTCAATCCTCTAACCAGTTTTGAAGTTTTAATCTGTGAGCCCATCCGCCTGTTTACCTTCCATTCATGTCTGACAAGGCAGCTTGAGACGGGCATTTTATGGCCATGAGAAGGCAGACTTCTTCCATGCATGCAGGAAGAGTAAATCATGACTCAAAACCTGGCATCCTACAGGCTAAGGAAAAAAGCAAGACGGTTCAGGAGGAAGCTGCAAAGCCTCAGCCACGTCTGCTCCCAGTCCATGCAGTCTGTGGAATTGCCTTCCCTGCAGCAAGTATGTTGGCACTGAGGCATTTTCTTTCCAGATTGTTTTCATCATGTAAAATGCAACCTTCCTTGTTTTCTGCTTCAGTTCTTCAGTGCAGGAGCAACAGTGGCTTTTACATCCTAATGTGTGCAAAAGGTCATGGGCACATCTTACACATGCAAAAAACCTAAGGAAGCTGTAGTATATCCTTTCCTGGGAGAGTTTCCTAGATAGAAAGAATACCTTAGGTTTAATTTTCTCACTTGTAGTGTGTCTTGAGTTCAGAGTGATTTCTGTTATCATTGTCCAGAGGAACCCACTTCACCCTGTGCAAATAATTGCCATGTTCTGTGTTCAGAGTGGGGCAAAAAAAAAGCTTGTAGTGGCTGTGGTCTGTGCCAGGCAGCTGGTGTTCCACCTCCCCTGCCAAGTGCAGTGGGAGCTCCCCCACACTGCTCGTGTGGCACAGCTCCAGGACTGCACCTCATCCAGGGTGCTGGCTCCATTTCAGCTTCTGTGTGTATGAGTAGTCTGGCTGAAAGCTTGCTGGGGTTTGATCCTGCAGGAAGAGCATCCCTGGGATGGTGGGGGTGCCACCCTCCTTTCCACTCTGTTGTGAAGACAAGTTCTTTGTTCTCCTCTATCCTCCTAATATCGTGGAGGCAAGCAGATGACAGCAGTGCTGGACATGATGCATCAGGGAACTGGTTGCTCAGCACTTGGAGGTTTGGGCAATGGGATGCTGGTAGATACACGCTTAATGGGGGCATCTTCACTTCCACTGGGCAAAAGGACTGGCGTTCAGGGTCCCAGAAACAGAGATGGGCTACAAAGACCACCTGTCCTGAGCGCCTGTGGTTATCTGACCGGCTGCTCTTCATCTTACTCTCCAGTCATCTCACCCAAGCACAGGTCGAGTCACAGCTTTGTTTTCTCCACTTCAGTCTACCTACAGCTCCAGGTAAAAGACAACTCACTCCCTAAAACAGCTCTATCACTGATCTGTTTCCTTAGCTGCTCTTTGGGAAAGAGTTCTGCCCATTTATCGGGCTACTGAAAAGGCAGAGCTCTGCAAAAAGCAGCAGTGCTGTCAGAAAGGCATCTACAAACAAATGGAAAAAAAGGATTCAAAGCACTTGTTAGCACCTGAAACCCCAGAACTGAGTGGAATCAAGAGTCTGAGTAAGTGTGTAAACTGGTTCTGTAGCTCAGGTTCATTGGTTTTGTTTTAAGGTCGCCTAATTTAAGAGATTTCTTCAGTGCTTTCACCACCAGAACATTTCAGCTGGCATCTTGTTGCATGGCCAGGTAAGAAACCTCTTGAGCTAGTTGGAAGTCACTAAGCGCAAGTGGCAGTGTCTCTTATGCACAAAAGAGTCATTTCTCATGATTAGCTGAAAAAATTACTCTCTTCAGTCTTCTCAGCAACTGCAGTTTTGTCTCACTTAAAAAATAACAGTGTGTAGCATTTGTCTTTGTTAGATGAATAATGTAGTGATCTGCTTACTATGCATTGCCTTTTGCTGCTTTATTAATGGGGATTAATAGCACTAGCTCAAAACCCGTGGTCAGCTACCCCGTCTTACGATGCATGTACTGGACAGGAGAGTAAAAACATACAGTTTCTAAAACGATGAATGGGAAACTCCAGAACCTTACTTAATTCCAGCAAAACTTTTAGAAGCAGGAAGTACTGGCAAGCCAAGTAAGTCTTTTGTCTTGCAAGTGGCTGTGAACTGATGATGGTTATAGAGGAATACAATTAAAAGAAAACAAACTTTCCCATAATTCGCTGCTTGAGACGTGGCAAAGTGATCTCCATAGTGCAAATGTCCTTCAGTTCATGAAGTTCCTGTTGAAATGAGTTGTGGGCTCAAGTACTGCTTTGATATGATTATTTACCTGTAAATGCTCATCTTACTTCCCCTGAGCAAAGGATGGATCAGAAGTAGGGTTACACTGACATCAGGGAGTTAAATGGCGTGATGGTGCCTTCCTAGGCGTCATTTCATGTCACAGAGAAAGCCTGAAAGGTCATGGCACAGTTTGAGGTCCCTCCTTCCATCCCAAAACTTCCTTCTCCCACCTTTTCCCTGGTGCAGTGACTGTTCCAGCTGCATCGCTCCCTTGTGGACCTTCCTATGCTCCTGCAGCTCTTCCTGTTTTCTTGGTGATACTGAAGAAGTTACCTGTGAAACCCACTGCACCTTTATTCCAGGTGCAGAAATGTACTCATCCCTTGGCTATTTGATAAGCTAATTTTGTGAAGAAGCTTAGTGGTTTGCTGTGTTCCCTCCAGAAAGATTTCTTGCAACCTAATGATAATATGTTCAGTTTAGATAGATATTTTCCTTTTTCTTTTACTCGTCACTGCCAAAAGCTAATGTGCTACCATTCAAAACTGGATTTTCTTCAGGAGGGTTGGAGAAACCTTGCTCCAGAGGACCCACCCGACTTACCCAAGCTATTCAAGGACATTTGCTCTCTACTCTGGCTACCTGAAAATCATAGAATGGTTTGGGTTGGAAGGGACCTTAAGGATTATCTGGTTCTAATCCCCCTGCCATGGGCAGTGACACCTTCCACTAGACTAGGTTGCTCCAAGCCCCATCCAACCTGGCCTTGAACACTGCCAGGGATGGGGCAGCCACAGCTTCTCTGGGCAACCTGTGCCAGTGTCTCACTACCTGCACAGCAAAGAACTTTTCCTTATGTCCAACCTAAGCCTATCAATCATCTTTCAGTTTAAAACCATTACCCCTTGTCCTACCTTGACTGGCATGCTGGGAGCTCTTGTCTCCAAGCCTGCATAGTTTTGCGGGAGGTTGGCTCCCTGTCTGCTGCCCACCTTCACTGGCTGCCTGGCAGTTCCTGACCTCTCAGGCAGAGTGCAGTGGCCAGACACACTGAAGGCTGCTGCAGGAAAGACACCAGGGGCATAAATACATGTGTCAGGGGTGTGAGCTAGTGTCTGCCTCACATCGTCCCTCCTGCCAACCTCCAAGAGTGTGTTTTGCTCGGCCTCTGCAGGTACCGTAAGATGAGTCACCACATAATAAAGCCTTTTTCAAAACAACATTTGATGCCTTCATTGAGGACTACATGAGCACAGATGCATTTATTTCTGTTTCACAGATACCAGGAATTACAAAGAAATTAAAATACATCATCTTAAGATGTGTCCAGCTGTTTCCTCTTGCATTTACGTGGGCTATGTGAAGATTTCATCTGATGTCTTTTATACTTCAGCTAAAGACAGAAATAAAGTATTTTTCTACTTCTGATAATAGGCAGCTACTCATAATATGTTAAGATGCGGGTAAAATAAGAACAGAAGCCCTCAAATGCCAGGTTTCCCTGTCTGGGAGCACTGAAAATATGTTTTCCTTTGTAGAGCTGACTTTTGGTTTACTTTGCAGTCAGCTAATGGTAAAATGTAGTGATTATAATTCTAGGCTACCTACCAAGGACAGGAAATACACAGAACGGCTGGGAGTGGTAATTCTGAGAACTGATCACAAACAGCTTCTCTGCTATAGCATGCAAGTCCCTCTCGAAATGGATGATCACTCGCTACAGCAGGGCAGCACTGGTGATGTACCTCCTGCTTTGTCTGGAGAATCCACACCAAGGAGCCCAAGGTAGGACACTGATGCTGAGATCTCACCCCAAAGGGATTGTATAGATCCTATGCTACCAGATAGCTCCTAGGAGCCTCATTTCCCCACATAGTGGGATTTGAACTCTGAGATTACACTGCCTATGTACTCGATGGTGGGCTCACTCCCCTTTTCATCTTGCATCCCATACCAGGGACCACATTCAAAGAGACAGAGGCAGATTCAGACCTGGACTTGAAGCTTGCACGGTACAAGGAGTAAATTTGGCCCTTTGTAAGTGGTAGGAACATGAATTTCATGCAACACCCCCTTGAGACCTGAATCATATTGCTGCATTTATTATGCAGGAATCCTATTGCTACATTTCATTTCTGCTAAGACAAAACAAGATTTTCCTTCAAAGCATGATGTCTCAACACTTCTAGTATGACACTTCAGTTCTAGTACATCTTCATTTGGAAATACAGTTTAGAAATGAGCGTCTAAATACTGATTCGCAGATGAATTGGTTCCTCTTCCAGAAGCACTGCTCAGCAGCTGGTGAGGAACTTGATGCTCTCAGGCAGGGTTGGTCAGGAGGACTTTCTCCCCCCATGCTTCCCAAGCAGTAACACTGCCTCTCACGCTCCGTCTCTCCTCGCCACCCTCCTCTCCTGGGCCATCCCACTGTGCGAGGGGCTGTTTTGTCAGTAGCAGTTTTGCTCCAGCTGGGCTTCCAGGAACAAGCTTGAAGTTCTCATGGCAAGGGGCTGGGTTCAGCGGCAGTACTCTCGCTCGATGCTTGCCATGAGCTCCTCCTCTGAGTAATCATAGGATATTGTGGACTGTCCTGCTGGCTTCTTGCTGTTCTCTTGTGGGCACCTGCCAGGGAAGGGAATGAGTTATTGGTGTTACAAGAGAGGAGCAAGTTCTGAAGACACAAGATGACCCTTACTTCATTTTTTATTTGTGAATGGAAAGATCAAGCTGCACGTGGCTTGCTGAGACACGGATACTCTGTCACGTCTAGTTCCCATACCCCCCATAGGCATGCCGCTCGCTGACATTTGCTATTGCTTGGCATCTATTTCAGTCTGAGTTCATTGCAGTACAGTGCTTACAAGGCTCCAGATCAAACTCCCAGAACCTTTTGGTGGGTTAGATCAGAGACCCAGCTAAAGGACTGTATAACCTTTGTGGTAGTTACTAATTTAAGGTTTTGTGCAGAAAGGGTTGGGGTTTTCTTTGTATCTGTAAGGGACTTGAGTTCCAACCAAAATATGAATGCAGCCACCTCAAAGTGCTCGTATGGCTTTTATTTTCACGTTAGCACAACTCTCCCGTGGTTGGGAAATGACGTACAATTCAAAGGGAATTGGTATGGGTTTTACTGGTGTCATCAGAGGTGGGCTATGTTGGGTACTAGGGAAATGTGTCCCCACCTGCATGAGGGAGAACACTGAAAAGTCCTCTGCAAATTCTGACCACTGTATCTCATGCTGCCAAGTCTGCTTGATCTTGCCCTCCAGGATTCGAGGAGACAGAGCTGAGAGGTGAGTGCTCCTCCTTGACCTTATAGGGAACTGGGACCCGAGCAAGCTGCGCTGTCAGGCCAGGCATCTCTGGAAGCTGGGGCACGTGGCTCCATGAAATGGGGGTCATGCTGAGGTGCAGAGCTAAATGGAGACTTGAATTGGTAAACCCAAACAGTAAAATACCCTGCCATGCCACATCAACCGAGAATCATGGGCTTACTTTGTGACCATCCACTGGTGGAGGACAAGTAAGCAAGAAAGGAGTGGTTTTGCATGGAAGTTGTTTGCCAAAGAGGAGAGATTTCCATATCTCTGCTGCCCCAAGCAGGCAAGTGAACGTAGAATCAGAACTGAAGAAAAGAACTCTGGGATGTTTTTCAAAGGAAACTCGGTCATTTACAGGAGGAGCTCTCAGAAACTGCTCTCCTTGGGTGAGGACCATCCACAGTGTTCCTCGAAGAGACAGCAGCCTGTCTCCTACAGCTATCACTGTGGAGCAAGCGGCAGCAATGCAACCCTTCCTCTGCTCTTATCTGTTGGGGTCAGAAAGGCTTCTGCCCAGCCCTGCTGCTCTGACCTAGCTGCGTTAATGCTATACCCTGGCATGACAGAAATAGTTAGATGTTTTCCTGGAGCCACCTGATGACCAGCTGGCATGGGAGCTGGGTCATGTGGGTGTCCTACTCCTCTGCACTGTGCCCCTGATAGCAAGTTCAACTGGCAGCGAGTAGGGTTTTGCAAGTGGGCTCTTCTGCTTATTGCTTTTATCTATTTTCCCTCTTCTCATGGCTGCAGGCAGTCTGGTTTCCACTGCAGTAAAAAAGAACTGGGAAGAAAGCCACAGGTCCAAGAGCCTGAACCGAACACCAGCAGGTACAAAGCAAGAATTAGGGAAAGGAAATGCAGAACTCTGACTTCAACATGTGATTTATTGATTTAAACTCCACACTCTGACAGTCCCTGAACTACTTTTATATTATGTGATGAATTAGAGACAGAGCTCTTGGCAGCTTGCTTGTAGGCCCACAGAAGGGTCATTGTTTCTCTTAGCAGTTACATATTTTCCCACTGTTAATTATTCTTGATGCTGTGGCTTGCATGGTGACCTCCAAGCATGGGAGAAAATCTCCAGGTAAAACTAGAACTCATTGAAACATAGATGTGTTTTTAAAAAGACAAAAGCAAAGTCCACCTACCACGCACATTCCAGAACTGAAAGTAATAGAGAAGGCTGTGAGCAAAGCAAAAACAAGTTGTTGTTCATGTTCTATTTTTACGGCAAAGTTCTGTATCATCTAATACGGAAAAACTGATAAAAATTAAAGAATGGGAGGTTCAGTCTGGATAAAAGGAGAAACTTCTGTACCCTGAGGACAGCCAGCAGAGGAACAGGCTGTGGTTGCACAGGCTGCATCCTTGGAGTCTTTCAAGACCTGATGGACAAAGCCTGGAGCGCTCTGCTTTGACCTCACAGCTGATCCAGCCTAGAGCAGGAGACTGGACCGGAGACCTCCTGATGCCCTCATGACCTGAACCCTGATCTCAAAGGTACGTTGGTGCAGCTGGTTCTGGGAATAAGTGAGAGGCTGTCGCAGGGAAATCCTGAGCACAGGATGTGGTCAGGACAGGAGCAGATGCACCACAACCTTGCTCCTGCCTTGCTGTGGCAGGAGGGGAGGCTCCTTGCTGCTCCCATCAACACACAGCCAGGGCTGCAGGTCAGGGCTGAGGATGGGAAGGTCCAGGGTTAATCATTAAAATGCCTTGTGCAATACCTTGCAGCTGGAAAACGGGTCAAAACAATGCACTGGTAACACTGCCAGTGACATGAGCCTTGGCAGCAATTATAGGGTCATTACAGTGTTCCCGGGCTCTGCCATCCCACCCATGGACTACCAGATGATAGAGAATTCTCAAAATTACTGTGGGGGGAAGGAGAGGTAACACGGCACAATCAGAATACACCAGTGTGCTCCCATGCACATCAAAGGTATTTGCTAGCCTGGTTTAGGTGCTTACATGGTGTCATGCTGGCATGTTTACAGTACAGGAGGTGCACACCTACAGCATCTGCCTCATGTGACTGCTCCCTTGGCAGACAGCATTAGGTCTCCATGTCTAGTTTTAATTCTCCTTGACTGACATTTATTTCTTCTTTAATTGGCTTCACAGGAATGTCTTCAGTCAGCAGCTCCACTAAGACGAGGTTGATTTTTGCTGCTTGTAACGTGAGTGCTTACCTAGAATAATTCCAGCCACAGAAATGTGAAGGGTGAGACTCCTACACCCATTAACTGCTGTTTCTGGGCTTGACTTGATCTGATTTCTTCAAAATATGGTTTTGGACCATTTCCAAAAAAGTGTTTGTGTGCAGTTCTTGCGAGCAGAAATTGCAGCCCTGGTTATCACGGGCAGTACAGGCACTTCACACATGGGGCTTCGCAGTGGGTATAAAGTGAATGATATCTAAATGAAAATCAGCTCCTGCTCTGTCATCCCAGGTTAGAAACCTGCTTCTGCTGTCTCAAGTCCTCCCTTTTGCGTG